AGTTGCCCTTGCCTTCTTGCCAGTTACATGGAGAACTGTGGCTCTCCTTCCTACTAAATCAGGCCCTATGGATTACTGCCAGTTGAGTGCAGAGTGCTTGGAGATCCCAACACGAGGCGTCTTGCTCTCAACACAAATGAGCCTTAGCAACTCCAGTGAACAGTGCTGATGAATTGCCCTTGGCTTCTCACGCATCATTGTCCCACAATTACATCAGGGGGAAGATGTGCACCCCTGCCGAGAACATGGGGCCGGCACACCCCAAGAGCAGGATGAAATCCCTCTCTGAGGCCCTCACTCAGGCAGAACTGATTTTCCTGACACTTAGGGGAGAAACAAAATCTGATTTAATTCTTAGGAAATTGCCTTTGTTTAACCCACCTGTGTAAGCCTGTATTTAAATGGTAATATTTCTGGCCTGCTGGGATGCTACATTTATTTTCTTCCTTAGCAGCAACAAGCATCATTTATTCATGAGAATTCTAGTTCCTACCTGCTCTTCTGAGTTTCTCACCTCTATTTCCATTAATCAGATGGGCATTTCTCTCCCCAACACGTATGCAATCTATAACCTTCTCCCTTCCTAGGCCTCAAACTCTTTCTGCTTTTCCTGATTATATTTCTAGAACCACTAGTGACATTGCTTTTCTCCTCTTCTGCTAGACTCTCTTCCTGTCACTCACTAGTCTCTCTGACTCCACCTATTCCCCTGAGGTAAATCACTTAACCTTGTATAGGTCTCTATTTGCTCATCTGTAAAATGGGTAGAATAAATACTAATGAGTTTGTTGCAAGCTGAAGATGAGATAACCCAAACAATGTACCCAGGATAGCATCTGGCCACAGAGTAATGAAGCATGGTGATATTTTTTATAATTGTCTTGATGGCCAGAGAATCTTCCCTTTTCTTCATGTTGTTCTCTTGGAGCTGTCCTGCTGATTTAAAATCACAGACAGGCCACTCATTTTATTATTTGCATCACAGTATTTTCATTCTCTGAAATTTCTTACTTTATGATTCTGTTTATTTATGGTTTAAGCACATTTTTCACTATTCAACCTCTAAAATGAAATACCCACACAGGCAGGGATTTTTGTCTTACTCACCAGCATCCCCCTAACACCTGGCACATAATAGGTGTTGAGTAACTATTCCCTGAAGAACCAATGAGGAGAAAAAAGTGTGGGATTTTAGAATATGAAACATCCAGATTGTGCTGGGTTTTCAGTTATTGACCCCAAGTCAAGGGCTCCCTTCTCCATTTTGCTTGGTAATGCAGAGGCTGTGACTAAAAACCACATTTCTGCTTTGCCAGCAGCCCCATGGCAGCCTCTGCCAACAGGGGAGAGGGAGGTACCAGCTGGAGGGGCGACATGTTCTTTCCAGTCTGCTTCCTGCTCCTCCTGCATTCCCTCAGCCGTGGTTCTTTGCCTAGTAGTAGCTGGAGCTTCTAGTTTCTAGGATATCATCATTCTTGTTGTTGTTGTTATTGTTTTTATTATTACTCTGAACTCTTGGCATCAAATTCACAGTCCTAGCTCAGAGACCCCAGCATCAGCCAGCAGGTGCACCCCAATGGAGGTCTGGGTCTCAGCTTCCCAGACCCCTCTGCCCCAGCTCTAGTTCTGGGGGATCCCAGCCTCTTTCCTTCATCTCCTCCTGTGCATAGATTCTATATGTGCTGGGGAGAGAAACATCCATCTGACAGATGGAAATGGAGGTGAGAAACTCAGAAGAGCAGGTAGCAACTGGAATTCTCTAAAGGCAGGAGCAGCTTGCTGCAAATTGCTACCTCTGTGGTTCCACTGTGTCCATTTGAGTTATCTGGGGTCCGCCAGTGCCTGGTTCACAAGCTTTCTATGAAATTCTCTGCTAAAACATCTAACACAGTCTATTTCCTGGATGAGCAGTAACTTACCCCCTTGTCCAGCTATGTCCCTCACTGGCTCCTCTCCACCCTCATAATGTGTCCACAGAGGGAATTCTTTCCAGGACAAGCATTTCTCTCTCCATGAAGAATTTATGACCAAAATAAACACCTGCTTGTTTCTTGCAACAGTGAGGTGACATATGTCCCCCTAAGTCTGCCAGTCACTTTAATTTTTAACCCTAGTGATACGTGAAATAAACTGTTGGGAATTTTATAGTCTAGCATCAAATAGCCTTGCGTTGAAATTCTGCTTCTGCTGTGTGGCTGTCAAGAAGCTACTTTCCTTCTCTGGTTCCATTCTTTTATCTACAGAATGGATGTCTCATAATGGCTGCTTCCCAGGGTTTTAGCAAGGATTTGATATTGGGGAGGGAAGTACTTAGAACATCCAATTGCACAGAATGGTGGTGTCATTGTTATCCTTGCAGAGCTCAGCCTTTCTACTCTTGAAGGTGAGTATGCTTGTCCTGTCTTGGCCTTGCACTCAGGGAAGTCAGAGCCCCAGGGGCCAGACACCATCTAAAGCCCACGTCTGCCTGCCTTACTTCCCTTGGCACTGTGTGAAGAGCCCATCAATGGTTTCAGGTGGAAAGATAAGTTTGGCTCCCCAAGTTACCTTAGACAAGGCACATGTGTGACACAGAGGCTGGCTAATTATAAGACTGCTGATAATCTAATTTCCCTGGTGCTACCTGAATACTCTCTTGTTTCTTATTTGCAGAATAGCATACTCCCTTGGGGGAGAGAACAATTCCCCTCTATATCATCTATAATTATAATAAATCTCATACTGGTACAACTTGCCTTTCTTCTCTCAGAATGTTCTTGCCACAGTGAACACCTTGCTCACATTGGGAGGGATTTTGCTGTGTGGTGTTTTGAATATTGCTAACCCTCTCTGGGCCTGACTCATTTATCTGACTACAAGTTTCACATACATGATCAAAGGAGTCTAAAAAATGCTTTCAGTTCGAGTTGGCATTAGGGGTGATGAAAATTGAGTCTGGCTCTCTGATTTTTAATGATCATGAAGTTTTGGTCCACACTGTATCTATTTTCACCTTCCTTTCTCTAAACTGGCTTTGTTTCCACCTCTACATCCTCACTACATCCTTAATGTCCTCAATCTTTCCTTCTGGAATTCTTGCACTCACTTGATAGGAACTGTCATTTTATAACGTGCTCTCCCATCACACAAGTGCCGCAGAATTCTGCACAGCATTCTCACACGGCTGGGAGAGCAGGAAGGTCCAGAGCATGCAGATCAACGAGGGATGTCTCTTTTTCAGCAGTGTAGATGTCACAATGTTGTGTGGGGGAAAGGAGCAGAGGCAGCAGCTGGACCAGTAGAATCCGCAGCAATAACCTTTGTCATTTTCATGGTACTCTCTACACATACTTTGCAGACATTATATTAAACACATCCATTTCGTTTATTCCTCCTCAAAACAAAGCGGTAAGAAGTACGCGTGATGGTTAATATTGCTTGTCAACTGGATGTAGAGCTGCCTACCTGGAACAACACATTTCTAGGCGTGTCTGCGAGGGTGTGTCCAGAGAATGATTGGCATGCGGGTCAGCAAATGGAGTGGGGAAGCCTGGCCCCGCACGCAGAAAGTACCGTCCCATAGGCTGGTGACCCGGATGCAAAGAGCGGAAGCTCGTTGAAGCCCGGCAGCAGATCGCTCTTTCTCCGTGAGGTACGTTTTCGGCTACTACCGCCTATCTTGGACGTTAGACTCCAGCTTCAGTAGCATTTGAACACAAACTGGCACCAGTTCTTCCCCACATACTAGAAGCTTGATAAACATTGGACAAGTGAGCAAACAAGAGTAAGTGCCGTTTATATTCCCGTGTGTGTTCTAACGAGGACCCTTCAGTGCCTTGACATAGAGTGACTTGTGTGACCATTCTAGGGCCTAACAAGGCACACACAGTGGGGTATTTTCTGCCAGGGCTACTGTGAATATTGTCTCACACCATGCTAACGAAGCTTAAGGGTCCTGGAGCTTGGATAAAAGATCTGTGGTTGTGGGCTACCTTCCAAGCCTCCTTGGAGCTGAAATTTTCTGTGACCACTCTGGAGGCTGAGGCTTGTTGCTTCACAGTTATTTCCACATGACTCCCAGAAGACAGAGAAGAAACCAGACAACATGATGCATGAATTCTGGATTATCTGGCATTTTGTTAACCCATGGCCTCCATTCTGCAGCTCTTAAGCAACCTACTTCTCTTGAATGTCCTAAAGAAGCAGATCACCGGTTCAGGTGAACACAGATTTCATAACTGCTGTTTACATGTAGCTAAAGTGCCCATGATCATGGCCCACAAGGACCTTCTGAATAACCAAAGAAAGCAAAGTGGAGCTTTTATTGGGGAGGGGGAGTAATGAGCTGTCTCCTGAGGTCCCTTTAACCCATACAGTCTTGGGACTGAATTGTATCTAATTTTTTATGAAGCAATAGTTGGACTTCACACCTGTATAAGGATTTCATACTTTGCAGTTTCACTGTGAAGAGTATTGCATTTTAGTCAAATTGTTTAAATCTCAGTCATTTCTGAGGAATACCATCTTAATCAAGAAAAGCCTAATCACATTCCTTCCCTATCCTGATGAGGCAACACATACTCACCTGTTCTACAGGGTGAAGGCTGGGATTGAACTACTGGGAGGTGGAGGTTGTCAGAGGCATTGGCCATTCTGAAACAGAGAGTCATATAGCACCTGCTACTCCTGCTGAGGTGGCTGGATGGGTAGAGGCCATCTGTCTGTCTGATGTGCACAGGCCAGTTCCCCAAGGTCTCCCTACTCAATGTGGATTCTCTGTGATGCAGACCAGGCCACCCTAAAACTGCCTGCAAACTTTCCACTGAGTGCTGAGCCAGCTACAGCTTCCAGCTCTGTGGGGAGTTCTCCTAGATCCCAATCAAAGCACAAAGAATTCATCTATTTGATTAACTGGGAAAGAAAGAGCGGGAGAGCAATTGCGGGAGGTTGTAGGGCTGAGTGTTTTCTGTGTAGCAGGCCCCTCCCTTCTGACTGGAGTATTAATTGCTACATTACCGCTGCCATGTAGGAAAGACAGTCAGCAGAGCCTGGGAGGGCTCCAGCTCCTCCCTCTCTGCTCTGCTCAATTTCACTCTCATCTTCCGTTCTCCCGGAGTGCCTGGTGCCCTGGCAGTGCTGTCCCACTCCTGGCAGCCCAAGGTCCTCCTGTGGCAAGGACTTGAGTGGACAGCAGCAGAAGGTGGAGAGAGGGAGGGAAGATTTGCCCTGCAGGCTCTCTGGATGCAGAAGCCGGACTTGCTGCAGAGGCAGCTGTGCTGTTCCCAGAGCTTGGTTTCTGGGGTACATCTGTCTCTCAGGGTTGATCTAAACAAGCACCAAGTTCCAAGAGCACACAAGGTGGGTGCTGTCTTTTTTGGGTGCTTACAGCAAAGACTGCCTTCCCTCTGCCACCATGAGCGGCTGCTCCAAGAGATGCAAGCTTGGATTTGTGAAATTTGCTCAGACCATTTTTAAGCTCATCACTGGGACCCTCAGCAAAGGTAGGAAGACTGGCCTTGACTCTTTTTTTCTCTCTGTATGTGGCCTGATTGGTGACATTGCTCAGGTGTAGGAAGTGGTCATTTTGGTGTGCCTGAGTCTCGGAGGAGCCAAAAGGAAATTGGTGGCTGGGATTTGAGGTTGCTGACAACCTGGGTCCTGGCTCTGAGAAGGCGGGCACCCTGCCAGGGAGCTCATTGCCTGGAACTTTGGAAATGGGAGTTGGTGGTGTGTAGTTGATTGGTTAGAGTCAGGTAAAGGAGCAGAACCCTTCCCAGAGCTCTGGAAGAGACTTAGTATGACTGGAGTTTCAAGAAGTTATCCATGTAGTATTGTGTCTTGTTGATAAGACAGAGATTTGATGGAGTGAGCTGTGAATAATTCTGCACAGCAGAGATGCTACAGGGGGCCTGCTGGAGGTAGGAGGGGGACAGGATCTACTGGGTGCTGGTGAATCCAGAATCTGAACCAGCTCTGCAGTCACATGCCAAGGCTTTTTCTCATGGGACTGCAGGGTCTTGTGCTTTGGGGACTTTGTTCATCATTCTACTTTCTTGGATCTCATGCCCATGTTAAAGCTTGGTTTTCCAGCTTCTCCAAAAATGGTTTCTCTCTTCTCCAAGGCGGTTTGCAAGACTAACTGTCTAGGTTCCAAGAAAGGGTGGCTGTGGACCAGAAGTAGGACTGTATATATATTAGGACAGCCCTGGTCCTCCTGCTGAAAGGGAAATTAACTTCTCAGGGACCCCATTGTATATCTGTGTCACGAAGGATGGGGCACTCAGAGACACTTGAACAAACTTTCTGGAGATAAATTTAAAAGGAAAGCAGCTGCATGATGTGGTTCCAGTGGCTGAAAAAAAATGTCTTTAAATATTCATGCTCTCAGAAAGAATGCATTCTTTGAGGGGAGAGGCACTGGAAGTGACAGAATATTCAGGGAAGGAGGCAAACAAACCCTTGATTGAGATTTTGAAAACTAATAATGAGCAAAGATAAAGGCTGTGGGTGGCCACCTCTCCCAGCACCACTCAGGCATCTGGCTGCCCAGTGGGTCCAGCCTAGGGTACATTGTGTGATAGATATGGATGGGCTAGTGGCAAGATTTCACCTAGATCTCCTTTCTCAGGCCTTTTTGGCACTCCTGTTCTTTCCCTACTCTCTTTCTGAAATATGACGCCACCCCTTCAGGATACCCAGGTGGACTGAACATCCAGTGTTGGGTGTCAGGCTGCCTGGCAGAATGACTAGAGGCCTGGAATGTGGTGAATGGCTGACAGTTGGCCTTAGTGGCAGCATTTCTCAGTGGCTTTACTTCCTGGAGGAGGAGTGAGCAGGAGGCTGGGAGATTTCACAGAGTTCCCCCAGTCACCTCCGGAGGGTTTTTTCCCTGTATCACAGATATCAAGACCCCTGGGGGTGTTGGGTAGTATCCTACCCTGTCTCCATTTCCCAGAAATGCACCAAAAAGAGCTGTGGCACGAATGGAAGAAACATAGGTCTCAGCTCTGTCTCTGCTACCTGGGCAAGCAACCACCTTTCTTTTCTTTTTTGTTTTTTTTTTTGGGGGGGTGTTGTTTTTGGTTTTTTGAGACAGGGTCTGACTATGTAGCTGAGACTGACTTGGAACTCACTATGTAGCCCAGGCTGTTTTCGAACTCACAGCGATCCTCCTGTCTCAGCCTCCCAAGTGCTGGGATTGCAGGCGTGCACCCCCATGCCCAGCTGTAACCACCTTTCTGAGCCTCAGGTTTTTCATCTGTTAAATGAGTTCATTCCCTCCTGCCTCTCTACCTGCAAGCACTGTTGTGGGGTTCAGGGAAGAGTAGACATACAATCCCTTTTCAGACTGTATGCATTGATGACCAGATATCAGGGAAGGATCAGGGGCTGAGATGGCATGGGTATTCAGAGTGTGACCCAGGCCCACCCCCATGCAGGGCCAGGGTCAGAAGTTCTTTAATTCAGCTACTTGCAGGTAGGTCTGCACACCTCAGATAGCATCAAAAGGAGCCCAAAATTACAGAAGGATATTATTCAACAAGACAGATGAGTGTGAGAAAGCAATTCAGCAAGGGAGAGAGTGTGTCCAAAGAGGACTGTGTTCATGTATGTGTGTAAGAAAAAGAAGATATGTAATCATTTGGCTAAATGAGCATGAAGATATTTCTTCTATATATTTCCTATGTGATTTCCTCAACATTTATCTTTCAAGCACCTCCTTTGTACTGTGCTCATCACAAGATGCTGGACACATGAATGAATAAGACATAAGTCTGCCTGCTGTCAAGAGGCACATAGTATAGTGGGGCCACAGCTCTCACACACAGATATTACCTGGACATCACACCAAATGCCAAGATTCAGAAACTTGGGGGCAGCAAACAAAAAAAGGGATCCCAGGCATTTTGAGGGGCTCTTCCAAAATGTAGCCTTCAAGCTGAGATGAGAGAAGAGGCAGGACTGGGCAGGGGAAAAGAGGTTGATGCTTGCACACATTGCAGCTTTGGAATGTCAGCCTCTGCAGAAAAGCCAGCAGGAGGGGCAGGTTACCCAACACCCTGCTTCCAGCTCCCAGTTCAGAATCCCAGAAACTAAGATGCACATGATACAGAGAGGCTCTGTGGGGACGAGCACTGGGGACAGAGTGTCCAGACCTGCTTCAGTACCAAGTTTCCTGCAGCCAGGGTTCAGGAGGTGGCACACACAGGCACCAGGGAAAGATCATGTCTTATCTGTATCCTTGCTCTTGGCCTCAGCTCTGCCCCAAAGAACACCCAGTGTTTACATAGCCCTGGCTCTGTGCCAGGCACATGCAGGATAATTGGTGTTCTTCCCAACCCAGGTGTTTGCTAAATGTTTGTGAAATAAATGATGACCATGGCATTAGGGCCAGGTCTGGAGCAGGGTAGCTGAGAAAGGTCTCTATAGAGTCCAGAAAGAGCTTTCTAATGTATAGGCCTCCCCAGGGTGAATTTAGGTTCCATCCTACACAGACACATTATGATTGCTTAATGATTTCTGGCTTTAATTGTGATTTCATTTATTCATTATTCATTCCACTGAGTTCTAGATTTGCAGTGATCCATCTCTTCAAAGAGGGATTTTTCTCATTCCTTTTCAGGATTGAAGAATCTGAGTCTATCAGAGGCACCTCTTTTGGTCTTGGGAGCAGGTTGTTATTTCTTACCAGTTTGGGGAATACCTGGGGAACACAGAAGGTGCAAGATCATCCCTCCCCCTCCTGCCTGTTCCTGGCTCTTCGTGACCTCTCCTGGATGCCAGCTACCCCTTTGTACTGGTGTAAGGTGCCTGGTGGCCCAGATTTCTCATTGATGCCCTGCTGCAGAGATGATCAATTCAGGTCCATGTAAACATCTCTTGCTGATCTTGAACTTTTCTTTCCTGGCCCTGATTAACTTTTGTGATCAATGTTTGATTTTGAAGCCTCTGTGCTGAAGGCAGTCTTACCCACTAGTCTTAAGCTGTGAGGGTGAGACCATGCATTTCACTCACAGTGTAGCCAGAGCTACTAGTTTAGAGCCCAGATTGGAGCAGGTGTCTTACTGATGGTATTAAGTGAAAAAAATGCACTACATGGCAGAGATGCCAGCCAGTGGCTTGAGATGATGCTTGATGGAATGCTTGGCATGAGAGCTTTCTGGGAAGCACCACAAAACTCCTGTCCCACCTGTGTTCAGTAAATACACTCTGAACTCTCTTTAGCTACAGGAGCTGCATCTGTGGCCAGAGGTGAGCCTCTAGCCACACACGGCATTCATAACTCTTCTGAGCTTAAACAATCTCCAAGAGGGAGGCTGAGTGGGCAGGCTTCTGGCACCCCCACTGCTACCCATTCAGCTCTATTTTGATTTGTTTTCTATGTTGGGTTTCTATCCAATTTTAAGTATTTATGTTGCTTAAAAATGTTGCAAGCCAGGTGTGGTTGGTATGCACTTGTTATCCCAGCTACTCAGGAAGCTGAGGCAGGAGGATAGCTAAAGCCCATGTGTTTGAGACCAGCCTGGGTAACAGTGAGACTATGGTTTAAAACTAAATAAATGAAAATTTAAAATTAAAGAAAAGTTTGCAAACCACAAATGCAGTAGAAGATTCCATCAAGTACCAGACTGGGATATCCCAGGGCCCTCCATAATGGCTGGGAAGCCTCAGGTTGGGACGTAGCCCTCTGGCCTCAGCTTCTTAATCAGTGAAATGGAATCAGAGCACCCACCTTACAATATATGAGAGTGGATCCCTAACACTCCCCATGTCTTCAATACTGTACTCAATGATTGTCAGTTGATACAACTTCTGTTAAAAGCTGGTACCTGGATGGAAGAGGAGTTGAGCACTCAGGGCAGGGGTCCCTCTCATTGGTTGCTCATTTCATCATTGTCCACCACAGTCATAAAGAACACTTTATGAAGCCATACAGTTACAGTTAGAATGTTGCTTCCTTCTGCCCTACTTGCTTTCCCAAGAGCCTGACTGGGGCCAAGATTCATTTGAGCAGCTCTCTCTCTCTCTCTCCTATTTCTCTTGTTAGGAGGTAAAAGTATGACTCCAGAGCCAGGCCTTTCCCTAGTGTTTAGCTTTGAGGAAACCTAGCTCCTGACTCAGATGCCTGGGTAGATGGGGTCTGGGTATCTGCCTTTTAATCCTTTTACCTAGCCAGTTCCCTCCTTTTACCTAGTCAGTTCCCTGACCCTTAGAGAACTGGAGCATAGAAATTGTGCAGGCTGCCTTCTGGCTGGAAAGGTTTAAAGTGAAGTCCTGTCACAAACAAATCTTTTACCCGTGCTGCAGATGACAAAGCTAGAGTAAGCAATCAGGAGTTCTTCTAGCATAGTCCAGGCCACCCATGAGGCTTTGGGAAGGGGAATATGGAAACTAAGATCTATGTTAAGATCTTAAAGCCCTGGAGCCTTAAGGTGCCTCTTGCATGCAGGGTGATCCTCTTTGTGCAAGGCAGGACTGGCTATAGACCTCTTGGAAACAT